ACCCGTTTGACCCATTTTACGTTTGATGGGGGGTGGTCGTTTGACCGCGACCCTTAGGGTGGGGCATAGGCATGATCGCTGAGATCCGGGTTGAAACAGCGGAGGTGTATTTAGAGGGTAATTAGTCAGGATATATCTATGAGGGTGCCTATGTTAACGGATTTAGGGTTGTACCTGGTAGGTTCCTTGATCATTTGTGTAAAGTTGGGGCATCTAGTTTAGATTGCAGGACGCCGGGGTGTTTAACATTCCCAGTTTAGGTTACCAAGAAATTTAACCAATTTCTGAGGATGATGGGGGCAATCAATTCACATATGGTGTTCAGGCACCAGCTGGGAGCTGAGGGGGGTCTGTACCCAAGCGGCAACAGTGAGAGACTTATTTCGGGAAAGGTGATTTTTAGAAGTAGAAGCTCAAACTTTTTTGGGCACAGACCGGGATAGTAATATGAGCTCTGCAGGCTATCTCTACAGTGATTGCAACTCCGCCCCCTTTGGCAGTTCTATCTAGACGGAAAATGTTGTATTTGGAATGGACATTTTTTGAATCTTTGGTGGCCTTCCTAAGCCAGGATTCAGACACTGCTAAACACCCGGGTTGGCGGAGTTTTGCTAACGCAGTGAAAACCCTCAAACTTGGGAGGAGGCTTTTTGATGTTTAACGCAAGAACCAAAGGCTTTTGCGGTTACGGGAAAAAAAATGATAGCGCCTGGGGAGCAGGAGTGTTTCCCTGGGGGCTACAGGCCTGGGTTAACCTCTACATTACCAGAGGAACAGAGGGGGAGTAGATAGTATACGGCTAAAGGTTTTAAAGAACTGGTCTTCTAGTGCGTTGGGTACAGAGAAAAAAAGGGGCAATTTCCGGGCTTTTGTAGAATAGATTCAGGCATTATGCACAGACAAGGATAGGGAAGATATGAGTACAGTGTAGGTAAACCTAAGCGTTGGTGAAGATGAAAGAGATAGCATCACGGAGGCACCAATGACCCGGGCCCTCTGCGTGTGTGGTGGGTGGGACAAGGAGCTCTCTGAGACAGGTTGAGCAGGACTGGGGGCTCTACATTGAAAAGTACAGTTAGAACTAACCGAAACAGCAAGTAAGGCATATTGACATGGAAGAGGCATAAAGCAGTCACAGGTGCAT